TAAGAATCACCTGAGGATCCTGCCAAAATGTACAGTCTGACCAAGCACACCTGGGGTAGAAATGCACATTCCCAGAAGGGGGAAGAACTAGAATGAACTAGTTCAAAGCCCTGATTCCTAAACATGTGAGGCTAAATTGAAATCACTGGCTAATCCTGATATAAGACAGACTGGTAGTACAGCCTATAGGATCATGTTGTGTGTTATGGAGTCACAGCAACCTTATATGACAATGTAGACCTGTTCCATAGGTTTCTTAGGCTGAATTTTTTTTTTTTTTTTTTTAACATTTTAGTGTGCTTTAGATAAAAGTTTACATAACAATTTAGTTTTCCAATCAATATTTCATACATATTGTTCCATGACATCGGCTGCAATCCTCACAATGTGTCAACACTCTCCTCTTTTCCTCCCTGGGTTCCCCACTTCCATTCGTCCAGTTTTCCTGTCCCTTTCTGCCTTCTCATTTTTTGGTTTTGGGTAAATGTTGCCCTTTTGGTTTTGTATAGTTGATTGTTCTAGGGAGCACATTCTTCCCTGGTGTTATTGTTTATTTTATAGGCCCATCCATTAATTTGATGAAAGGTGGACTCAGAAGTATCTTCAGTTTCAAGTTAGAAGGTTGTTTTAAGGCGGTTGTTTCAGAGGTTCTTCCAGTCTCCTTCAGACTAGTAAGCCTAGTATTACTATTATTTATTTATTTACTTTACTGTTAATTTTGCTCTACATTTTTACCCATTGTAACTGGGACCTTCTATTGTGGTCCTGGTCAGAGTGATTGGTAGTGGTAGCCAGGCAGCAATTAGTTCTTGTGTTCTCACATTAGAGGAGGCTGTGGTTCATGGGGACCATTTGTCCTTCGGATTAATTGCTTCCTTAAGTCTTCAGTATTCTTCATTCACCTTTGCTCCAGGCAGGAAGAGACAAATAGTTTCTTCTTAGATGGCCACTCACAAGCTTTTAAGACCCAGATGCTATTTACCAGACTAGGATGTAGAATATTATATTTATGAATTCAGTGTCAGATTACCCAATAAGCAAAGTAAGCAAGGGCTTACGTGTGCTCACTTACTAATCTGTAGTGAACAATTTCACATTTTTTTCACAATGTCAAAGATTCTACTTCAAGGTATAAATGGCATTTATCCCTCTCCCAACCCCTCAGCACTTCATATAGAATCAAACCCTCTTTTCAAATTTATAACCTCTTATTGGAACAGAAGGAAGATTGAGCAATCTACTTCTGTAGTGATACTGCCTCGGAAACCCAAGGAGGGGTTGCTATGAGTCGGATCTGACTCAACGGCACATAACAACAAACAACAACAACATTGGAACAGTTCTCAGTAAGCAATGTAAGCATTGACATACTTACTATTCTATAGTGAACAATTTCACATGAATTTCACCACATCTTTGAAATGGTGAGAAACATGATATTGTTCTCTACAGATTAGTAAGTAAGCACAAGTATGCCTGTGTTTTCTTTGCTTATTGGGTAATCTGCCCTTGACTACTGTACATTGAATATCTGTATATAGCTATCCTATTTTGCATGCCACTCTTTGGTCATTTCACCCAAATCATTGCATAGGCCTTCAGGCTAGGAGTGGCTGCTCCTTGCTGTTAGGAGCCCTTTGTGGTGAGCTTTCCCTTGTACACTTCTGTAAATAGTCTTTTATTAACCAGACTCAGTGTGTCATCTTGTTCCTTCCATGGCCCAGTTCTTGTAAAAACAGGAAATTATAAGCCTTATATTCTTTAACATCGAAAAAGACAATATAAATCTATATTCTTTGATTTAGCTCTAGCCAATAAAATATAATGTTAACATCAGAGCCTGCATCCTGTAATTAGCAGTTGTTAAAGAGGAAGACTTGGAAGGATGAAAGACGTGTTAATTCTGGTACATGAAAAGGCAGCCTCTAGCCTGTAGAATGATTTAGAATGAGCTAGTGAGGGAGCTCTGGTAGCATAGTGGCTAAGACACTTGCCTGCTAACCAGACGGCTGGTGGTTCAAACCCACTAGCCACTCCTCGGAAGGAAGGTTGGGCAATCCTACTTCCGTAGTGATACTGCCTCGGAAACCCAAGGAGGGGTCGCTATGAGTCGGGGCCGACTCGACGGCACATAACAACAACAACAACAAGAAAGGGTGAAGCCGAAAATGTCTGCAAGAAATGTCTGTGATATGTTAAGAATATAACACACAACCTGTGTCGGATTGAAGCCCAATTATTGTTAATTTCTGTCCATTTTGTTTGCTGAAGGGGCAAGGAGGCTGCATCTTCTGATCTCCTCTAACCACATGAGAGGAAGACAGAATTACCATCAATAGCCCAAGGTCTATCCCTGTGAGGCCAGATATGCTGCCTCCCTCCAGCCCTTTTACCAACCCTGACACCAACCTTTCCTCCTGCAGCATCCACCACGTCTCTTCTGGGTTTGATCATTTACAGCAGTAGCCACACAGAACTCACAAATTATGGGGTTTATTAGGGAAGCAACTGGCTACAATTCAAACTCAGGAACACGCTGAGTCTCTCCCAGCCTGCCATCTCTCAGCTGATAGTCTTTCTCAGTCTCTCTCCCAGCAGTGCCTGTCTCTTGAGATCTCTCTCAGCAGTTCATGTCTCTTGTGTCTCTTTCTCAGCAGCATATGTCTCTCAGAAGTATGTTTCTCTCAGCAGCATGTCTTTCTCAGCCAGCAGTCAGAGAGACTCCTTCTGCCTCTAGAAGGGCTCCATTTGAGCCTGGCAGAGTGACTACACTAACCAATCACAATATCAGAATTCTATACACCTGAGAGAGAGCAAACGTCCCAGAAGATTATTTCATGCTGATTCAACAGAAATACCCTGGATGGATAACTTTAGCAATCAGGAGCTACTCAGTTGCTCACGGCAAATTCCACCATGGAGTTTACAAAGACCTATGGCTAGAAAAGCCACACTATGTAATTTACTACATCACATTGTCTCTTGACATCTGAACTCTTTTTTTAACTAGAAAAAATAGGAGTCAGCTCTTAGTTACACTTGTTAAGTTATTCAGAAATATAGCACCACTAAGAAGGAGCCCTAGTGGTGCAATGGTTAAGTGCTTTGCTGCTAATCAAAAGGTCAGTGGTTCAAACCCACCTGGCAAAAAGACTTGATAATCTACTCCCGTAAAGACTTCAGCCTAGGAAACACTATGGGTTGGTTTACTCTGTCCAATGGGGTCACTATTGTTGTTGTTATTTGCCATCGAGCTGGACCCACCTCATAGCGACCCCTCCTTGGGTTTCTGAGGCAGTATCACTACGGACGTAGATTGCCCAATCTTCCTTCCAAGGAGTGGCTGGTGGGATTGAACCGCCAGCCTTCTGGTTAGCAGTCAAGTGCCTTAGGCACTACGCTACCAGAGCTCCTATGGGGTCACTGTGACTTGGAATTGACTTGAAGGCATCCACAACATTCTATAAAACATTGATGTATGAAAATTTTTAATTTAGGTTGTTTTTAATATACTTCAGATCTTGAACCAAAACTTATAAATGCTTAAATTGGTATCAACATGATATTATATACTGTGATACTTTTTTTTTTCCAGCTAAGGAGGATCATTCCTACCATGTTCTCTTAAATAAGACCAAACAAGGTGATTGATGAAAGCCTAAAATGGGGAATAAAGCCATCAAGAAAATGGAGAGATCTTGATAATACGAGAGGCTAAAATTATGAAGGAATTTTACTTTAAAAATGCTAGAAGTTTGAATAATTATGAATAAAGCTTTTAAATATTTTATGCAAAAGTTGCCATGGACTTTACATTTCCAGAAATCTGAAATTAGAAAGTATACTTTGTATTCTGAAGGAATTTTATGTTTAGAAAGATAGGAAAGAAGAGAGAGAGGAAGAGAGGATGGAATGAGGGAGGGAGGCAGGCACCAGCTAGGTAGGCTGGAGCTGCACAGAAAACTCAAAAGTTGCACACCCAAAGATGAAATACATGGCAAGTAGAAACACAGTCAGGTGAAAGTGAGATTTCTTAATGTGTCACCCACTGGAGATGTTAGAAATATATCCCAAAACTTAATTTTGAGTTATAGAGAATAGTGAAACAATCATTTAATCTTTCCTTGATGTCCTGTCAAAGAGAACTATATGTTAAGGTAATATTCTAACCCAGGGTGGTGTTTCAAGAATGATAAAAATGGTATTTATTGAGAGCTTGCATTATATGCCAGGCCCCACGCTAAGTATATTGCATGGCTCATGTCTTCATTCTTTGAAGAAGAGTATCCTCATTTCACAGAAAAAGAAAACAGGCTTGAAGAGGTTAAATAAGTTCCTCATGTTATGCTATAAATGCCTAGTGGAGTCTCAGTTCCAACACAGGTAATGTGAATCTTATACATGCTCTACATGCTGTTACTGTTAGATGCTTTCAAGTCATCTCTGATTCACAGCAACCCTATGTACAACAGAATGAAACACTGCCCGGTCCTGTGCCAGCTCCACAATCCTTGCTATACTTGAACCCATAGTTGTAGCCACTGTGTCAATCCATCTTGTTGAGAGTCTTCCCCTTTTGCATTGACCCAATGCTCTACATGTTCTCCTGCATTGGAGAGAGATGGCCTTGATGTGAAGTGACCAGTACACACACACATGAACACCAAATCATTAACAAATCAGGCCTTTCAATATCAAGGAATATAGATATTTATTAAGAACACATGGAAACAATATGCGCTCATCACACTCAGTGTAGATTTAAAATGAAAACATCTCTGTAGTGAAAACAGATCCATTTGGGCCTTGGTTAAAATTATTCAACAAATGTCTTACATCTGCCATTTCCTAAAAGAGCTGAATGCAGACTCTAAATGCCAAATCAAAAGAAGAGGAGTTGGTAGTTAAGAGTCCACTCCCCAGTCACTGGCTGGCTCCAACAAGTTTTATATGACTTGTGAAGAAATCCATATGGTGTTTACAGAGATGACGAGCAAAGATTAGCAGCAAGAGGAGGCACAGCACATGGGGCGGGGGCAGGTGGAGATAACACAGGTTGGGCGATAGCAGGTGGTATGGCAGGAGACTTGGCCACAGACTGGGCGGAAGCAGCAGGAGGTGCGGCAGCAGCTGGAGCCACAGCAGCTGGAACCAGAGCAGGAAGGCTGGCAACAGCTGGAAATGGAGCAGGTAGGCCTGCAACAGCTGGAGCCACAGCTGCTAGAACCACAGCAGGAGGGGCGGCAGCAGCTGGAGATGCAACAGCTGGGGCGGCAGCAGGTGGGCTGGCAGCAAACAGACTGGCAGCACTGGGGCCTGCAGCAGCTGGACACACAGCAGCTGGGGCGGCAGCAGGTGGGCCTGCAGCAGGTGGTCTGGCAGCAGCTGGGCTGGCAGCAGGTCTCCTGGCAGAGGTCTTGGCCACAGCCCTGGTCAGAGCAGACGGAGCCACAACAGGAGTTGACCATGGTGTCAGAGGGTGGAGGTTCTGGGTGTTTTCAGGAAAGTGAGGTTTTGGAGTTTGAAAGTCTCCTTATTTCACAGCCTTTATATACTGGCCCAACAGGGTCTGATGTCAATGTATTTTCCTTGTTTTTATTGACTGTTAGTGAAGTAATTATCAGATTACTTAGTGGTTTGAAATTGTTGGAAACAAAATTTTCCTTTCCAGATGTGTTTTTCCCTTCCTTCTATCCCACCTTTTCTTCCTACTGATTCACAGTTGCTGGCATCTTCTGGACCACATTCTCTTCATTTTCTGTCACAGAGAGCTGTCATGTGATGTTGTGCATTTGGAATTACACATCTCACTCTCCCTTCCTCTTTCATCTACCAAGACAGGATCTGGACAGTCATATTTCTTGTTATATATTTCTTCCAATGACCATTTCCGTAGAGTGGCATCTGGCATAGGATAAAAGGAACAATCCTGTGTTGTGGTCATTTTTGAATAATGAGGAAGGAGCTATCTCTATGTGTACGACTCAGGTGACCTTTACACCTCTGGAATGGGTTTCCCTGGATGCTTCAAATTTTGCATCATGTTCTATACCCTTAAACTCTGGTAGACAATTGATCTGTGCAATTCGAGTTAACAACAACAACGTCACATGCTTTCTTAAATTGTTCCTTTTTTATTTTATGTTTGTGTCACATCTTTCCACCTGGTCCCTTAGATTCTGGAAGACATAGCCTTGATTTTATTCCTTGTCTCATTTTTAGTAGAAATGTATTTCTTCTGTGGTGCAAAAAAAAAAAAAAAAAAGTTAAATAATTAGAATGTATCTCCCTTCAGAATTTATTTATTTCTGGAGCTGAGAAATCTACATCATAAGTTGTTTTTTTGTTGTTGCTGTTTTTTTGTTGTTTTGTTTCTTGATCAATTTTAAATGTCCATGGATTTCATTATTGAATTGCCTTTTTATTTATTTATTTATTTATCCTCTATTTAGTGGAGGGAGCTCTGGGTGGCATAGTGCCTAAGGCATTTGACTGCTAACCAGAAGGCTAGTGGTTCAAACCCAGCAGTCACTACTCAGAAGGAAGAATGGGCAATATACTTCCATAGAGATACCACCTCAGAAACCCAAGGAGGGGTCGCTATGAGTTGAATCAGCTCCATGGCAATAAGTCTGGTTTATTTAGTGGAAGCCCAACATTAGCATGCATCAGCATCATCTGGAGGACCTACTCCACTCCCACTTTCCAATTGCTGGGTGGAGCCTGCATTTCTTGTAAGTGCCCAGATGCCAGATGATGTTGATGCTGCAGCTTCGAGGACCACCCTTTGAGACCTACTTTCTTCTGTCCATTCAAACTTTGAGGAAGAAGTGCCCACATCAAGTTCCTGCCTTTTTTCTAAAGAGATTTGTGAAGCATGTAAGCTGGGAGACATATGTTGCAAGTCACTGGGGAAATTTCCCTAGGAAATTCGTGGTTTATTGGGAAGGCCACACACACATAAAATTGTAATACAGTATGGTGAGGAAAATCAAAGGAACTCAATAACAGTGTTCTTTAAAGAAATGCTTAACACAAATTAGTCAACATGATAATTTGGTCGAGGTATACAGATTTATTCCTAAATAGACACCTCTAGTCACTGTTTATTTATTTTTAGAATTGATTTCACAATTCAGATAAAGTTTACATACATTAAACCCACAAATCCTAAGTATTCTGTTTGATGAGTTTTGATAAATGGATACACACATATAATCCCTGCACCTGTCAAGATAAAGAATATTCCCATTATGCCAGAAAGTTCCCTCATGTCTCTTCACTAAATTCTCCACCACCATAAAGGCAAGCACTGTTCTAACATTTTCTTCACAATATTGTGTTTGATCTAGAACTTTAAACAAATGGGGATGTGCAGTATACTTTCTTTTCTGGCTAGCGTCTTTAGCTTGGTGTACGTCTGTGAGAATCACCAATGATGATGCACGTACCACTACTGCATTTAGAATTGTACAAATGGATTACCAAAGCATGCTTTTAACTATTACCAACCAATATCATGTTAGAGTGACCAACCATCCCTGTTTGCCCGCGACTGAGGAAGGTGTCAAGTTCACAGAACATGGAACTGTCAGTACTAAAATTAGGAAAGTCCTAGGTAGACAGATGAGTTGATCACCCTACAATAACATCTTTAAATGTCTTCTTGTTGATAGGTGTCATTGAGTCAGTTCTGACTCATAGCAATGCTTTGTCCAGCAGAACAAAAATGTCTCAATTAGGTCCATTTAAAGATTAAACCCCTTGCATAATTTATCACATTAATTTGCTTATGTTTTTATTTTTTAGTTTTTTCTTTCTCTTTTTCACTGACGCTCTACTTTACCAAGCATGGTATCCTTCTCCAGGGACTGATCCCTCCTGATAACATATAAAAAGTATATGAGACAATGTCTCACCATCCTCGGTCTTTTTAAATGCATTTTATTGAAATATAATTTATGTACAGTGAAATACACAAAACTAAAGTGACATGGGTCAATTTTTTTTTTTTTTTTTTTTCATTTTTCCTTTCCCTCCCCTCCCCTCCCACCCCTGGCAACCAACAAAGAAAGTTTCCCTCCATATATAAACCTTTCCTTGACCCTCCACAACAATGAACTAATACTATAAATTAATAATGAAAAAGGAAGACTGAAGAAGAGTTGATGCTTTTGAGCTGTGGTGCTGGCGGAGAATGCTGAAGGTACCATGGACTGCCAAAAGAACTAACACATCTGTCCTGGAGCAAGTGCAGCCAAGATGCTCCTTGGAAGGGAGAATGGCCAGCTTCATCTCACCTACTTTGGTCATATTGTCAGAGGGGACCATTCCCTGGAGAAAGATGCCATGCTTGGTAAGGTGGAGGGTCAACGAAAGAGGGGAAGGCCTTCAATGACATGGATTGACACGGTGGCTGTGACAATGGGCTCAAGTACAGTAAGGATCGTGGAGCTGGTGTGAGACTGGTCGGTATTTCGTTCTGCTGTGCATGGGGTCGTTATGAGTCGGAAGTGACTCGACGGCATCTAACAACAACGACGACATGTTTACAGGGCTAACCCTCCTCTTTTTTTTTTTTTTTTTAATTGTGCTTTGGGTGCAAATATACAGAGCAGAACTTGTTTTACATTCAACAGTTCATGTACGTTTGGTTTCACTCCCCAATTGCCATTCCCAACCCTAACCCACTTCCGTCCTCTCCCTTCCCAGTGACCCCTCCCATTCCTGTGCCCTTCTCGGTTATGCACTCCTGTGTGTCTAGCTTTTCCTCTGTGTGAATGCTGCCCCTCTAGTGTCCAGTGGCTGATTACTCCAAGGGATGTATCTCCGTAGAGTAGATGGGTGCATTGCCCTGGGTTGAGTGTTCTGCATGTAAGTGTTATTACTATTGGACTGAGAACCAGCTGTTGTGAGTGAGTTTTATCCCAGGCCTGAAGTGTATCCCAGGACCATAGTCTTAGGGGTCCCACCAGACTCCATCTGACCAGTAATTCTGGTCATTATTGTGTTTTTGAATTTTGTTCCATGTTTTTCCTCCCACTCTACCCAGGATCCCTGGTTTTGATCCCTTCCTGAGTGGTTGACATTGGTAGCCGGGTACCATCTAGTTCTTCTGGTCTCAAGGTCTATCATATCCTAGGGCTGATTGTTTCCAAATGCCCTTGGTTTTCTTCACTCTTTTTCACTTCAGACAAAAGGAGACCATTAGCTGCATTTAGATGGCTGCTCTAAAGCTTTTAAGACCCCAGTCACCACTCACAAGGGTAGGCTGTGGAGCAAGATTTTTGTGTACTATGTTGTGCCAGTTGAGCCTGGTGTCCCCCAATACTATGGTCCTGAGTCAGCAGACCTGGTGGTTCTTTCTCCCATGGTGTCTGGCTTCTGGCTGTCTCTGAGGGATTACTCCAAGAGTGTCTTCTGTTGCTTATGTAATTATTGTGGTTATTTTGTATCACTAGTATCTGTGCAAGACTATCCTCATCTGAACTATCATTGGTCTAGAGTATATTCTTGGCTAACCCTCCTTTTATAGATGTCTCTATGTATGTTGACAAGCAAGTTGGAATGAGTTTAATGAGAAAATAATTGCATCTGAACAGTGCCGGGAGTAGACCATATGATACCCTATGCAATTTCCTGTTGTCAGAAAGGTGCCCCCTCCCCAAACAAGTGTGAGTGTGGACTGCTAGGGGTTCACATTGTTCCTCAACACTGTTCTCCAGGTAATTGTCTTTAGTTACAGGAGCCCTGTCACCTCAAGAGTTTTTACCCTTCCTCTTTGGTGATGGCCCACAGCTAATGATAATGTGGGAATGCAAAGGCCCAGTCACATTGCCTCCAGGAGGGACCATTCAGATGCTAGACTGCTTATGGTGTCAGCTGAAGATAGAATTTAATTCAAGCCACCTCTTGGCTTAACTTCTACTATCATGCTTCCCACCACTTCTTACAAGTTTCTCCTGAGAGCACTCTCTGAATAAATCATTGCACAAGAATCTGTGTCTCAGGTTCTGCTTATAGAACCCAACATAAGACACCCAGCTTAGGGTGATACCCTTTAAATATAGTCTTCTTTAGGATGAGAGTTAAAAACATGATGGACCACACTACTCATGGAAATGTACTCTATCCATCATATAAAATGATGGGGGAGAAATATATTGAGGACTGCTAGTCTGAAAACAAGGAGCTCTGTGGTGTAGTGGTTAAGACATTTGGCTACCAATTAAAAGGTTGTTGGCTTGAACCCACCAGCTGCTGCATGGAAGAAAGATGAGACAGTCTGCTTCCGTAAACATTTACAGCCTTGGAAACCCAATGGGGGTTGCTATGAGTTGGAATTAACTCAATAGCAGTGTTTTTTTTTTTTTTTTAAAGAGTTTAAAAACAATGTCTCTGCAAAATCAAATGCATAAGTAGCAAAATGTTCAAAAGGCTTAGTATTTTAGTGGGCAATAAGCTCATTAAGAGCTGACCATGACACCATGGTGACCATTCATACTGTGTGAACAATATTTTGAAGGGCACCTGATACTGAAACTTTCAATGTTGGTGTCTTAGATTGGGTTCCCACAGGAGCAGATCAAGAAACAGAGCTTTGAGAATAAGTTTATTTGGGAGATAATCCCAAGAACCTCTGTAGGAAACTTGAGAAGTGATCAGGAAAGGAAAGTGAGGAAAGAAGCTAATACAGAGTGGATTAAAAAGCAGATTGGAATCCCTAAGAGGTATAAATGATTAATGTACTCAGCTACTAACTAGGGAGCTTGGGTGGCATTGTGGATAAGACATTTGGCTGCTAACCAGAAGGTCAGTGGTTCAACCCCACCAGCTGCTCCATGGGAGGAAGATGGGGCAATCTACTCCAATAAAGAGTTACAGCCTTGGAAACCCAATGGGAGTCACAGTGAATTGGAATCAACTCAATGACAGTGGGTTTTAGGAGCTGAAAGGTAGGAGATTCGAGTCCACTCAGAGGTACCTTGGAAAAAAGACCTGGAAATCTACTTCTTAAAAAAAAAAAAGGAACCACTGAGAACCCTATGGAGTACAGTTCTACTTCAACACACATTAATTGGTAACTGGTAGTAGTGAGCAGATTATTACTATGAACAATTGGGACTCATTCCCACTGAGGGCCTCTCGAAAACATGTTTCTCGTGAGAGAAGAAGCAGTCAGCATTTATTCAAAACTCCCATCCATTGGTCCAGTGCTGCTTCTGAGGCTGTAAATGTCCTACATTGGCCTGCCCCAAGCTTGATCCTTCATCTAGAGAGTCCTCAGACAGAGTCCCAGCCGCTTGCTGTAAGAAAGCATCTTCCTGTACCAGAATGGAGAGCACTGAGCATACAATGGTAGGACCCCTGAAATCATCTGCTGCAGTCTGCTTTTCCTGCAGAAAAGAACAGCAGAACAATTGATGTCTGAGGATGACAGTTCAAGGAGGAAAAATAATGAGACACCGTGCACTTATATTTCTATGACTGGAAAATTATGATTTATTTAAGATTTATTAGGAGAAAATTTGGCAGGGAACAAAGATTGTAATTGGGGTGACATGTTAGTTGGCAGATTTCAGAGGAAATTCAAAGTTTGTGTTGATTTGGGAGAGAGAGAGTAACTTGGGGGTTGTTGTTTTGTGCTGTTGAGTCAGACCCAACTCATAGCAACCCCTCCTTGAGTTTCTGAGGCAGTATCACTACAGAAGTAGATTGTCCAACCTTCCTTCCAAGGAGTGTCTGGTGGGTTTGAACCTCCAGCCCTCTGGTTAGCAGTCAAGTGCCTTAGGCACTGTGCTACCAGAGCTCCTAACATGGGGGAGGCAGTGTATTTGGAAGCCAAATTCAGTCTAAGAATGAGTGCAACTGAGGTTTTACAATAGCCATGCATGATTCAGCTCACAGACTGATGAGAAGAAGATTTGTTGATGAAAAGCAGGTGGATACAGGTCAGAGTGCTCAGCAGCAAGAAGCACTAGAGCAGGTTGGGCGGCAGCAGGTGGTCTGGCAGCAGACTGGACGGCAACAGCTGGAGATGCAGCAGGTTGGCCTGCAGCAGCTGGAACCACAGCTGCTAGAACCACAGCAGGAAGGGCGGCAGCAGCTGGAAATGCAGCAGGTGGGCTGGCAGCAGACAGACTGGCAGCACTGAGGCCTGCAGCAGCTGGACACACAACAGGTAGGACGGCAGCAGCTGGATACACAGCAGCTGGGCTTGCAGCAGGTGGGCTGGCAGCACACAGACTGGCAGCACTGGGGCCTACAGCAGCTGGACACACAGCAGCTGGGGCGGCAGCAGACTGGGCGGCAGCAGCTGGAGATGCAGCAGGTTGGCCTGCAGCAGCTGGAGCCACAGCTGATAGAACCGCAGCAGGTGGGTCGGCAGCAGCTGGGTTGGCAGCAAGTTGGCCTGCAGCAGGTGGTCTGACAGCAGCTGGGTTGGCAGCAGGTGGTTCTGCAGCAGGTGGTCTGACAGCAGCTGGGTTGGCAGCAGGTCTCCTGGGAGAGGCCTTGACCACAGCCCTGGTCAGAGCAGATGGAGCCACAACAGGAGTTGACCATGGTGTCAGAGGGTTGAAGAGGTTCTGGTTGTGTTTCCAGGAGAGTGAAGTTCTTGAGTCTGGAAGTCTCCTCACCCCATGTCCCCTTTTATATTCTGCCAAGGGGCTCCTGGCATCAAGTGCAATACTCTTCCTCGTGATTGTTTGTCCTAATAAACAGGTAATTATGAATCAGGCAAGTTTGTTTTCCTGGTTAAATTTTTCAAGATGGATGGAAAACACTGTTGTCTTTTCCTGATGTGTGAGGATTCATTCCATCTCCTCTTCCTCAATCACCTCTCATGTGCCTTTCTTGCTTTAGTTTCCTCTAAGAGAGCTGTCATATGTTACATGACAGTCTGCCTCTGTATGTGACAGTCCCATTTTGCATAGCCCACTATGTCTGCATTTGGATGACAATGATTCTTATAGGCCCACAATTCTTTTTGGTGACCAGATGGATCAAACTACATTTTAGTCTGATGGCTCATTCATTGTGGTCGAGGTGGGCAAAGAAGGTCTGAATGTATTACCTGTGAAATGGGTCACAGGCATGTGAATCAGAAGACTATTAGGTCATACCCCCTTCCCACTGCACAACCCACATTCTAGACTTTTGATGGGAACTGTTAAGAAGGAAAACTAACTTATAAATTGTGATTCTTTTTCTTCAGAAACAAACATCCATAACTGAGGTTTAGGACCTCTTTGAAGGAGCCCTGCTTTCATAGTGGTTAAATCACTCAGCTGGTAACCAAAAGGTGGGCAATATGAACCCACCAACTGCTCCACAGATGAAGATCTAGCAGTCTCCTTCCATAAAGATAGCCTAGGAAACCCTTTGGGGAAATTCTACTCATAGGGTTGCTATGAGTTGAAATCAACTTGATGGCAGTGAGTTTTCTTTGGGTGGGTGAAGATGGCTGCAGAGATAGCCACTGTCCATAAAGTTCAGGTCACTGAACTCTGATCTGTGGGGCTTATTTTTCTTCTGACTCTGACTTACACTCTTTCAGGTTTTAACCTAAAACCTAAGGCACTTGACTGCTAACCAGAAGGCTGGCAGTTCAAAGCCACCAGCCACTCCACGGAAGGAAGGTTGGGCAATCTACTTCCTTAGTGATACCACCTCAGAAACCCAATGAGGGGTTGCTATGAGTTGGGTCCGACTCGATGGCACATAACAACAACAACAACATGGACCCATATACACTTCTTCCAAGTTTTCTTGCCAACCCTAGTTAAATTGCCCAGTGTGCTTGCCTTTTATTCTAATTCATATCTCTGATCACTTGCTGGGCTCTGAAGATGCCCAGAAAACAGTCTTATGCTCCATTATTCAAGGTGTTAATCAGATTTCACCCTCTAGGCTTTTCTCCTAAAGAAAGGAGAGAGAAAACAGATATCTAAATGAAAGGGTAACAACTTTTTTTTTTTTTTTTTTTTAAATCATAGTGAATATGAAGGAAAAGATTAATGGGTGCAAAAAGGGTCAAACAAATGACAAATGTCTCAGAAAATGAAGGGTGCTGCTAGCATGTGTGTGTGTGTGTTTCTTGTGGATTGAGCCACCAAAGGGAAGGAAGAGATTTGCTTCCTGGAAAATTCTGTCTTTGAGTATTATTCCAAATATGTGTCATTTTCCATTTTAGGGTGGTCTTCATGTCTTAGACTAACTTGGTCTGGTCTCTCTAAATTCAATCATGGTCATCTCAACTTTGTTGAGAGACTTTCTATGAAAGACATTCCTTGAAATATTTGGAGGCCATGAAGTTGGGGGTTGTGAATACGCAATGTCAGGATCATGGTTCCAGATGCTTCGGACGTCCTTGTAGAAGAGGCTGAATCCAACAACATGAAATGTCAGAGCCATGCTTAGAGCTGAAAAAGTGGTTATTCCTGCACCATGGTGCATGCCATTGGGGAGGAGTAAATACATCTAACTTAACTAAGAGAATTCATTTTAACTACTCTTATATGCTAAGGTTGTGTCCACCTTTCAAACTCCTTCTCCAGGTATAATATTACCACAAAATGAGCCCTATTATACCTGGGATTGGTTAGAAAAAGAGATTGAGATGAAGAGATTGAAGTAGTTTGTAATGAAAAAGTTAGGTGTTTTACTTGGTAATATCCTCAGTATAAGTCCACACTTATTGTTGACCATTTCCTGCCAACAAACCCTGAATGAAAACATGAATACCTTAATGGAGGTATAGTATTTACACTGGAGGAGAAGGTAGGCCTAATCCTCCCTGAGCATTCAGAAACATCTGAGAAATGCATTTGATTCGAGGCTACATAAGAAGAATTGAGATAAATTATGGTATATTAAAAGTAAAGTTGATGTGATTGTGCTAGTTAAGTTTGTATGTCAACCTGGCTGGGCCTGGTTGAGTGGCTGAGCAGCTGGATGTAGTTTTTCCCCACGGTGAGATTGGCAATCAGTTCCATGGTGGTATCTACTGGAGCAGCTGAGTAGCTGCTTTAGGGGAGTGGGCACCAACTGGTGGAGAAATGTGAATGAAAACAGTGAGTATGGGGATGGTCAGAGCTGCACACTGTCTGCTACTCTGATGGGACCAGCAGCCTTAATATTTCCAAGTGGTGTTAGGAACTGAGAATTGACCTAAAGATCAGCTGCCAAGGGCTGCGGGGACGACTGCGCTAGTGGCCTATGACTAGGAGGGGAAACAGCAAGGAGGGAGACGACCTGAACTGTGGACTTCCAGCAATCAGGAGGGTGCAGCCATTTTGATTGTTTATTGGCAGTGGCCATTTGGATATTTAAAGTGACCATGTGTGCAGCCATTTTGAATGTTTACAAGTGGTGGCCATTTTGGATATTGAAAATGACCAAGGGTGCAGCCATTTTGAATGGTTACAAGTGGCAACCATATTATATTTTAAAGTGATAGCATTCTCATTCAGATTCCAGTGACCTAAGAAAAGGCTCTGTTTGCCAAGGACACCAGGAACATACAGCAGGGTGACATCAGGAAAGGAAATAGGTGGTGAACATATAAGTACTGCCAACTAGTGAACAGAGGAGCATGGTACCCTGCTTACATAGATAACATCCAAACAAAATGAAAACCCACTGCCGTGGAGTCAGATGTGATGCATAGTGATCCCTCCTTGGGTTTCTGAGGTGACATCACTACGGAAGTAGGTTGCCCAACCTTCCTTCTGAGAAGTGGCTGGTGGGTTTGAACCGCCAGCCTTCTGGTTAGCAGTCAAATGCCTTAAGCACTATGTCAAAATGAAAATCATGGGCAAGTCACTGCAACACACAATCACCAATTAATTATAAACACAAAAACATCATAATGTCTCAAAGACAGCAGAGCATCACAGTCCACACAAACATGGAAGATAAAGCAGGAAAAACAAGTGACAAGGATACAGACACAAAACACATCCCTGAGGAAGAAGCAGCATTTGGAACTCCCTGATGAGGAAGGAATTCAAAAGAATTACATTTAGGTACCTTCAATGGATGGAGAGACAGTTCAAGGAAAACACTGACAAAATTGAGAGAAACTCTAGAACAATTTCAAAAGACGTTACAAGAACAAAATGACAAAATAAATGAAAAATTAGAAATGATACAAAATCTACAGATAGAAATCCAGAAAATTAATACTAAATTTGAAAAACAGATAAAACATTGAATGGGCAAAGGAATAGAATTGAATCAATGGAATACAGAATTAGTGAGATTGAAGACAAATACCTCAATACTTCTTTGGAAAGGGATCAATCAGAAAAAAGATCAAAACAAAATGAAGAAAGCCTAAGGTTCATGTGGGATACCATCAAAAAGGATAACCTATGTGTAATTGGAATTCCAGAACAGGAAGAGACAAAACCACAGAGAAAATTGTCAAAGATATGCTGGAAGAGAATTTCCCTAATATGATGTAAGATAAGAATACATCCATCCAATATTCCCAATGAACCCCAAACAGGATAGACCCCAAAAGAAAATCACCAAGCCATATCATCATCAAACTCACCAAACCAGAGACAAAGAAATAATCATGAAAGCAGCATGGGAGAAAAAAAAGTTGCCTACAAGGGGCAACCTATAAGACTAAGCTTGGATTTCTTGGCAGAAACCATGCATGTGAGAAGGGTATATACCATACCAATGGGATGGTATATATAAAATCTAAAGAGAAAAATTTCCCAAGAATTATATACCCAGCAAAATTGTCCCTCAAATATGATGGTGAAATTAGGACATTTCCAGATAATGCAAATGAAAGGAATTAAGGGAATTTGTTTAAACCAGACCAAAATTACAGGAAATGCTAAAGGAAGTCCTTTGGACAGAAAACCAATAACAACAATCAACAACGAACCATTAATGCATATGATGATATAACCCAGGAACCAACCCAGTTATGGAAGTGTCGAAAGTAAATAAGCCTACAAGATTGTAAACAGGGAACTAGAGGCATCAATTCACAAATGAGGAAACCACAAACCAAAAAGAGGGAAAAATTGTGTAGTTACAGAACTTCTGGCCAAAAGCCTCCCAGAGCCAGGAAAGGGAGAGAGAAGGAGAGGCCGGGGACTTCCAGAATGGCAGGATATCCAGGTAAAGAAGATGGAGGCAAGACTAGGCCCCAAGCCCCCTAGAACCAGGAAAGGGAGGGAGCAGCCAGGGACCACAAAGCAGCAGGTTCCAGGTAGGATTTAGGTAAGGGGAGGGCGCAGAGGTTTCCAACAGTTAAGGGAGACACATTTTTCTGTCAGTTTGCCTTCCTGTGGGGCTTATACATTGTTGTGAGGCTTGAGGCTCTGCTACTGGTGTTTCAGACGCCAGCAGAGGTGCACATGGTGCACAGGTTTCAGTGCAGCTTACAGACTAGGAAGAAGGAGGCCATCCACTTCTCAAAAATTGGGCAGGGAAAACCTTATGAATAGCAGAGAAACACTGTCTGATACAGTACTGGGCAACTTTATGAATAGCTCAGAAACATTGTCCCACACAGTGCAGGAAGACAAGCCTCT